AACCTCTTCCTATAATACCCCCTCCCGGTATCCAAGTGTTGTCAGACCCAGCGTCCCAGTTCCCATCATTCACAGAGTCACGGTTCCAGCAACATAAGCCATAACAGTTTTCCAACAGCAGGTATCCAAGTGTTGTCAGACCCAGCGTCCCAGTTCCCATCATTCACAGAGTCACGGTTCCAGCAACATAAGCCATAACAGTTTTAACAGCAGTCGGCGTCTCCATATTCCATTTCTATGTAGCCTCCGTCCGGTTATGTGCTGGCAACATAGGATGTTCATGTGACCCGTTCGGCCGCCGCTGTTGGCGATGTAGCTCACGAAGCTACCGGACTCGGCTGGAACACAGGGTTAACTGGAACATTCTGGACTTTGGAAGGTAAGTATCACGCTGGGTCTGACAGATTCTTCTGGAAGAGCAGGGTGGAGGTTTTTGTCATCTCATCTGGAGGAGGAGGCACTGAAGAGTTTCATTCATGATCATCTTCTGACTGGGATTCCTGTAGTGGACAATCCCTTAAATAGGAGCCAGCCGTGTGGTGCAACTGCCAAAAAAGCCAACGCAGTGCTAGGCTGCATTGACAGAAGGATAGAATCAAGATCACGTGAAGTATTAATACCACTCTACAATGCCTTGGGAAGGCCACACTTGGAATCCTGCATCCAGTTTTGGTCACCACAACGTAAAAAAGATGCTGAGACTCTGGAAAGAGTACAGAGAAGAGCAACAAAGATGATCAGCGGATTGGAGGCTAAAACATACAAGGAACAGTTGCTGGAATTGGGCATGTCCAGTTTCACAAAGAAGAGGACGAGGGGGGACAGGATAGCAGTCTTCCAGTATCTCAGGGGCTGCCCCAAAGAAGAGGAAGTCAAGCTATTCTCCAAAGCCCCTGAAGGCAGGACAAGAAGCAATGGAGGGAAACTCATCAAGGAGAGAAGCAACCTAGAACTAAGGAGAAACTTCCTGACAGGGAGAACAATTAACCAGTGGAACAACCTGCCTCCAGAAGCGGTGAATGCTCCAACACTGGAAGTTTTTAAGAAGAGACTGGATGGCCATTTGTCCCAAATGGTATAGGGTTTCCTGCCTGAGCAGGGGGTTGGACTAGATGACCTCCAAGGTCCCTTCCAAATTATTATTATTATTATTATTATTATTATTATTATTATTATTATTAATCTTGAAAACTCTGTGGGGACTTCAGCTAGTGCGTTATTTTCTGTCATGACAAAAAACACTCGTTGGTGAAATGACAATGAGAAACCCTTTCCTAGTTCCTCTCTCTCTCTCTTTCTAGCTTATCTATGGGACATTCTACCACCCACCTAGAGCCAGTATGTTCTTCCTCCTGCCCCCAGAGGAATTGGGCTATCCATTGTATGTGTTTTGGGTAGGCACAATCCCCAACACTTTTGCCAAAGCTGGACCACCCCCCAGTTGCCTCTGTTTATTGGTCACCTTTCCTGGGAGTCAACTACATGACAAAAACACACATTCCTCTCCTTTTTAATTTCTCAGCAAACAGGTACATACCTCAGACAGGTACAAAATGCGCCAGCTAGACAATAGTGAAGGAATGTGCTTATGGAACAGGCGCAAATAGTTAAAAGTTAATATCCAACTTGTTTTTTTCACCCAAGAATGCAGAATATGAACCTCAAGACCTTCTCCAGCTAAGAGGGCCAAGGGAAAGAGAAAAATAGAGTAGAGTAGAGTAGAGTAGAGTAGAGTAGAGTAGAGTAGAGTAGAGTAGAGTAGAGTAGAGTAGAGTAGAGTAGAGTAGAATAGAATAGAATAGAATAGAATAGAAAGGAATGGAATGGAATGGAATGGAATGGAATGGAATGGAATAGAAAAGAAAATATAGAATAGAATAGAATAGAATAGAATAGAATAGAATAGAATAGAATAGAATAGAATAGAATAGAATAGAGTAGAGTAGAGTAGAGTAGAGTAGAGTAGAGTAGAGTAGAGTAGAATAGAATAGAATAGAATAGAATTTAAATGGAATGGAATGGAATAGAAAAGAAAATATAGAATAGAGTAGAGTAGAGTAGAGTAGAGTAGAATAGAATAGAATAGAATAGAATAGAATAGAATAGAATAGAATAGAATAGAATAGAATGGAATGGAATGGAATGGAATGGAAAGGAATGGAATGGAATGGAATGGAATAGAAAAGAAAATATAGAATAGAATAGAATAGAATAGAATAGAATAGAATAGAATAGAATAGAGTAGAGTAGAGTAGAGTAGAATAGAATAGAATAGAATTTAAATGGAATGGAATGGAATAGAAAAGAAAATATAGAATAGAGTAGAGTAGAGTAGAGTAGAGTAGAATAGAATAGAATAGAATAGAATAGAATAGAATAGAATAGAATAGAATAGAATAGAATAGAATAGAATAGAATAGAACAGAATTGTAGGATAGATTACATAGGACAGAAGAACAGAACAGAACAGAATAGCTAGAGGTCTTCACCCCATCAGTAGGGAAATTACTCATGCTCCACATACCTGCAACCAGGTGAACTGAACCTTTCACTTGCTTCTTTTGGATCTGTTCCCCTGTGATAACTGCAAAGAAACTTTTAGATTTTAATCACTGAAACATCAATATTTCTGGGTTCCAAAGCTATTTTTTTTTCAAAATGCAACTGGACTTAAGCGTATTCTTGAAGACATTTTGCTTCTCATCCAAGAAGCCTCTTCAGTTCTGACTGAATGGTGGAGAATGGAAGGATTTATATCTTTCTGGGTCTTCTTTCTTGCAAATCATGGCTTCATGTGGTGAATTGCAGGGTCTCTATCAAGTCCAAAGAACCAGGATTATTCAGAAAAACAGAACAACAGAGTTAGAAGGAACTTTAGAGGTCTTCCAGTCCAACACTCTGCTCAAGAGGAGACTCTATACATTTTAGACAAATGGTTGTTCAATTTCTTCTTGAAAACCTCCAGTGTTGGACCATCCACAGCTTCTGAAGGGAACCCCTTCCAATGGTTAATTGCTTTGTCAGGAATTTTCTCCTTAGTTCCAGGTTGCTTCTCTCCTAGATTAGTTTCCATCTGCTGCTTGTTGTCCTGTCTTCAGGTGCTTTGGAGAATACTTTAACCCCTTCTTCTTTGTGGCAACCTCTGAGATATTGGAACACTGCTATCAGATCACTTAAATATGTTGAATTTAAGCACAGAGATTCTATTATTATACCCTGTACACAAGAATCTAGTCAACTAAGGATCAGTACTGAATTGGTGCTAGATGAGGGTCAGTGAAATTCAAGGGGTGCTGGACTTGGATCATTTGTGGGAATGCAATGATTCTAAACTGATCATGCATTTAACTCCACCTTCCAGTTCTGCCTGGTCTTCTCCTACAGTCTCCTTGTCTGTCTTAAAAGACTCTTATCCCTGAGACCACCAGAGCAGTTGAATCAAACCAACATAAAACACTGCTTTTATGGTGGACAGCCTCATGTCTGCTTGCAAGACTCCACAAGCAGGTTTCCATCCATGGTTCCAAGCAATTAATCAGTGGAACCGCCTGCCTCCAGAAGCAGTAAATGCTCCAACACTGGAAGTTTTTAAGAAGAGACTGGACAGCCATTTGTCCGAAATGGTGTAGGGTTTCCTGCCTGAGCAGAGGGTTGGACTAGATGACCTCCAAGGTCCCTTCCAACTTTACTACTATTACTATTACTTTCATTTGCAAGACATTAGTCTCCTCTGTGGCCTCAATAAGAAAAGGATAGGAAGACACAACTGGTCCCTTCAGGTCAAGATAACTGAGCATGTTCTTTGGCCCAGAAAGAATGTAGCTCTCCAGAGTTGGGGGGCTTCTACCTGCTCTGGGTTCCCCACCCCAACCCCAATTCTGGCCAACTCAACTGGTGCTGAAGGCCAGCACCAAACCATCATATAATAATATCAGATGGTTGAAGAAGAAAAAATGGCTTTGGAAGAATATCTGAAGAACAATGATGAAGATGCACTGAAGTTAGTATATCAGGAAGGCTTACTGACTACTGGAGAGACCAAACTGGCCTTCAAGAAAGACCAAATGAAGAACAGAATGAGGCATGGGAAGACAAAGCACTACATGGCCAATACATTAAAAAAATAGCAGGGAAAGCAGATAATAACAAGACCTGGCAATGGCTAAGAGCAGGAAAATTGAAGAAAGAGACCGAGGGACTAATTCTGGCTGCACAAGACCAAGCCTTAAGGACAAACGCATACAAAGTCAAAATTGAGAAGACAGCAACAGACAGTAAGTGCCGCCTATGCAAAGACGCTGAAGAAACAGTGGACCACTTGGTAAGCTGTTGCAAGAAGATTGCACAAACTGATTACAAGCAGCGGCATGACAAAGTAGCAACAATGGTGCATTGGAAGATCTGCAAAAAATATCATTTGCCTGTAAGCAAAAACTGGTGGGATCATAAAATAGAGAAAGTCATAGAAAATGATAAAATTAAATGCTCTGGGACTTCAGAATTCAAACAGACAAGCACCTGCAACATAACACCCCAGACTTAACAACTGTCGATAAGAAAGACAAAAAAGTCTGGATAGTGGATGTGGCAGTGCCTGGAGACAGCAGAATAGACGAGAAAGAACTGGAGAAGATAACAAAATACAAAAACCTACAAATAGAAATAGAAAGACTGTGGCAAAAGCAAGCAAGGGTAGCACCAATAGTAATAGACTCCTTGGGCTCAATCCCAAAACAACTGGAGCACCACTTGAACACCATTGGCATTGACAAATTCGCTATTAGTCAATTGCAAAAGGCGGCCTTACTAGGAACTGCTTCCATCTGCGACGATATCTGTAATACCATCAAACATCCACATCTGCCTATCCCAGGTCCTGGGTAAGGACTCGATAGGTAGACAAAATGCCAAATCCAGTCTGAACATCTGGCCGACTGTGCGATGATCCATCATCATCACCATCATCATCATCATAAAGTTGGAAGGGACCTTGGAGGTCATCAAGTCCAGCCCCATGCTCAGGCAGGAACCCTACACCATTTCAGACAAATTGCTGTCCAGTCTCTTCTTAAAAACTTCCAGGGTTGGAGGATTCACCGCTTCTGGAGGCAGGTTGTTATGATTCAATAGTGTAGGAGCTTCAAGCACTATTGCAGTAACTGTAAATGTGCCCCTCTCTCTTACATCTCCTTGGGCTGGAGGATGTTGACATGCAAAGCTGGACATGCAAAGTTGACATGGAAAACACAGAGCAGTGCAAGCCACAGAACAAGGAAGGTCAAGAGATTGACCAAAGCCAGATTGACCAACAGCAAGTTCTAGTCAGCCTCAGGCAACAATCTCCTCTCCTGTATACGCCCCTTTCTTGCACACAGCATGCCAGCAAACCATCATCGGATGTTGCATCACCTGACCCTCCCTGCAGAACTACTCCTGTCCAAGTGAGATTAGAAATGCACAGTTGAGAGGAAGAATTATTGCTGCAGCTGCAAGTTGGATTTCAGCTGCATCATGAAACCTTGGATTCTTCTACTCCTAGCTGGTCTCCTCATCCTTGCTACTCAACTGATAACAGCAAAGACCACAAAACAACTCGTCCCCCCAAAAGGTAAGCCTGAGGGTGTCTCCCACACCTCTGCTCAATCCAGGACTTTGAACCTCTCACTAAGAATACTTTTAGTTTGGCTAACGTGGAATTGCAGTTGATCCACTTGAAGCCTGCTTGTTCTTCTTCCTTTGCGGAAGGTAATGGCCTACTCATTGCATACACTCTGGGTGGGCAGAATCCCATTAATTTCAGAGAAGGTGGGCGTCAAATGCCTTCGCTTAATGCTCACCTGGATGGAAATCATAAAACTTTTGATTGCTTCACAATGATATATGTACTTTAATTTTTATAATAACAAGCAGGTTACCTGCATGAAGTAGGAACAAAGCACAACAGCTAGCTCAGGGGTAGGCAATCTTAGCTCTTTTATGACCTGTGGACTTCAACTCCCAGAATTCCTAAGCCAGCCATGCTGGCTCAGGAATTCTAGGAGTTGAAGTCCACAAGTCATAAAAGAGCCAAGGTTGCCTATCCCTGAGCTAGATGGTAGCAAAAGAAAGTGATGAAGAAAAAGCCCAAAATAGTTCCTAGAATTTGTAAGCCCATATCTAGTGTATCACCTTTTCATCCAGGACGTAGGACATGAGGTCAGAAACGTTGTCAAGTGCCTCCTCCTTTCTTTGCAACCATGCAGCCAATCTGGGGTCTTCAGACAATGTCTTTAGACTCGTCTCCATAAGAACCAAGAGGAGAAGCGGCTTTGTGTAGATGGGGGTCACCAGTTCATGGTGCACATGAACTTTTCATGGTCTAGCAAAGCAGATTTACAGAAAAGAGAGCAGCTGGAGGGGGGATATGTATTAAAGATATTTAAATCTAGCAACTGGAACGGTGGAGTTGTATAATGAGTGAGAACAGCTACAGTTAATAGTTACAGCTGATCCGTTGGAGAGAGCTGGCTCCTGCATGAGGCAATCTGCGCTGTGATTGGTTGCTGTGGGTAAAAGGGGGAGTTTCCTTGTTTCCCGCCTTTTTCTCCTGTGTGTTCTGTGTGCTCTGTAATTTACCTCACGATGATCCTGTGTTGATTTACCTCATGATGCTCCTGCTAGCTTGGCTATCTTGTTTGCTGTAAATATTGATGTAAAATACATTTATTTATATAAAATTACAAGTTCATATCAGCATCTCTGACTTCATTTGGATACCTGCTGCGCCATTCCCTGACGGCATGGTGGGAGAAAAATCAAGATGGTAGCCAAGAGTTTGACTGAACTCATCCTGTTGTTGTTGTTATTTTGTACTTTTTTGACCAAGCCTTGCAGACACCCCTGCCAAGCTGAGGGTCCTGATCATACAAAAGGTCAGGGGTGTCCCATCAGTTTGAAGGCAAAGGTTGAAAATGAGATGCACTAATGAGGAGGAAGTGGGTCAGGTCCATATTGGAGGCCATCTTCTGGGATGAAGGAGCAAGGGCTCCTACACACAAACACGACGATCGAATCAGAAACATCACACAATTATTTAGTTTGCATATGATGAAAACATGACAAAGAGAAGTAAACACATACACACCCTCCACGAAATTACATAGAAAACATCTCAGGGGTTACGACAGTGGCCTCATTCAGCTCTCCAGGCGGGTGGGTCTTCTAGGGAACCAGAGAAAGCAACGTTGTTGTGGGCTGTCTTGTTCAATATGTTTAATTGTTTGCATCCCGGGGCCACATTTGCAACAAGGGGAAAGCCAACACCGAACAATTAACTTTTAACAGACAAGCTGAGCAGGGGGCTGGAGAGCGGCAAGCAGGGTCCTTTGTTCTGGACCCATCCCAGTGCCTCTCCTGTTTTCCCAGTCAAACCGGGCGAGTGTCCCTTGGTGAAAGTCCCTGCTGACTATCCCTGCGACCAAGAGTGTGTCTGGGACTCCGACTGCAAAGGGGACAAGAAGTGCTGCCCAGCTGGATGCGCCAGGGAGTGCTTCCCCCCAGGTAAGGGGGGGTCCTGCAGCTGAGCTAGAGATAGCTAGACCTCCTTTCTCCCTCCCTCCCTCCCTCCCTTCCTCCCTCTTTCCTTTCCTTTCCTTCCTCCCTCCCTCCCTCCCTTCCTTCCTCCCTTTCTTCCTCCATTCCTTTCTTCCTCCCTCCCTTCCTCCCTCCCTCCGTCCCTTCTTTCCTTCCTTCCTTTCCTTCCCTTCCTTCTTTCCTTTCTTTCTGCAACCCACCCTCCTTCCTTCCCTTCCTTCCTTCCCTTCCTTCCTTCCCTTCCTTCCTTCCTCTCTTTCTTTCTTTCTTTCTTTCTTTCTTTCTTTTTTCCTCCCTCTCTCCCTTCCTTTCCTTTCCTTCCTCCCTCCCTCCCTCCCTTCCTCCCTTTCTTTCTTCCTTCCTTTCTTCCTTCCTTCCTCCCTCCCTCCTTTCCTTCCTTCCTTCCTTTCCTTCCTTCTTTCCTTCCTTCCTTCCTTCCTTTCCTTCCTTCCTGCAACCCTCCCTCCTTTCCTTTCTTCCTTCCTCCCACCCTCCCTCCTTTCCTTCATTTTTTTCCTTTCTTCCCTTCCTTCCTCTCTTTCTTTCTTTCTTTCTTTCTTTCTTTCTTTCTTTCTTTCTTTCTCTCCCCTCCTCTCTCTCCTCTTGTCTCCTTTCCACTTTCCTTCTTTCCCATCTCGTTTCCAAGCCCTTCGTGGCCCCTGAAGCCCCCTCCTCCCACATTATGGGATTTCCTTCCTGGCAACCGCTGAGGCTGAGCTTTGCCAGAGCCTGCCTCAAGCCCACAAAAGAATTGGCAGCCACAGCCTTCCCCAAGAGCTCATCTCCTCTGCAAACACATCCCTTGAGTCACAGCAGGAACTCACGCGGCAGGTTCCTCCTTTATTTATTTATATTTCACATTTCCTAACTGACTCTTCCTCCTCAGCCAGGCCTCGCTCCTCCTGCAGAGCAATCCCTTCAGCTGCCCAAGATATCCCAGACTCAGGGATTTGGATAATATTTTGGTAATCATTCAGATTAAGGGACAAAATTAGTGACTGTTTGGGATGCTAGTTAAGTGGTCCTGAGGGGTTACTCAAGGCAGGGGGCCCTGCAGTGAAGACACTTTTGGCCACCACACCCAGAATAGGAAGCTGTTTCCCAATCCAGGATCTCCGAGAGCTGCAGAGGCCTCGGGGGATCTCCCTGACTTGTCCCCTGCTGAGCAAAGTATTTAGAGACGCAGGAAGAAATCCCAGGTGTGGCCCTGATATTCAGGAGTTCCTGTAGGAACTGAAGGGGCCACAGAGCCCCATTCCTTTCCTCAAAACCAGAAGGGGTCTCTCAGGCTCAAAAAGCTGAGCAGGTTTCTTTCTTGTTCCACACCTAGAGACAGAATCTTGCCACGCTAAAGCAGCCTGCTCTCTACACCAAGGATATACTCTGGGAACTATTGAGGAGAGGCTGTCTTCACCCCCTTTCCTTCACACAGTGTATCTGTTATATCTTACGCCTCTACAATGCACCCCTCCCTGTTATGATCCCTCCTCCTAACTAAATTCCATCATATCATGTACAGACTCCAGAACCCCTCAGACATCCTGTGTGAGTTCCCAGAATTCCTCAGCCGCTCTCTGTCAGGCCCCAAAGCAAGAATGACACACGGTGATTCTTCCAAGCTGACTCTTGTTTCCCATACATATATAAAATCCTACCAGACTAAGGACTCTAGTATCTGAATCCACAATATTCTCTGGGAACTATTGAGGAGAGGCTGTCTTCACCCTCTTTCTCTCACACAGCATATCTGTTATCTTTTACATCTCTGGAATGAATTCCTCCCTCTTATGATCTCACCTCCTAACTATATTCCATCGCATCATGTGTAGACTCAGAATCTGTGTGAACTCCCAGAATTCCTCAGCCCAAATCAAGAATGACACATGGTGATTCTTCCAAGCTGACTATTATTTCCCACACATAGATAAAACCTTGCCAGACTAAGGACTCTACTATCTGAATCCACAATATTCTCTGGGAACTATTGAGGAGAGGCCATCTTCACCCTCTTTCTCTCACACAGACTATCTGTTGTCTCCTACTCTTCTGGGATGCACCCCTCCATGTAATGATCCCACCTCCTTACAATATTCCATCACATCATGTGCAGACTTCAGAATCCCTCAGCCACCACGTGTGGACTTCCAGAATTCCTCAGCCACTCTCTGTCAGGCCCCAAACCAAGAATGACGTACAGTGATTCTTCCAAGATGGGTATTGTTTGTAGACAAAACCTTGCCAGGCTAAGGACTCCACTATCTGAATCCACAATATATTCTGGGAACTATTGAGGAGAGTCTGTCTTCACCCTCTTTCTCTCACACAGAGTATCTGTTGTCTCCTACTCTTCTGGGATGCCCCCTCCCTCCTGAGACTCTGGCCCACTGCATTCCCTCCCAGGGACCTTATTCTGACCAAGAGGAAGGAGCCCCGTTCCAGCAGAGATGCGCCTCCTTCTCAGTTCTCCTCTGCTCTTTCCTCAGGCCCACACTGAGCCCCAAGACCTGACGGAGGAACCCAGCGGGAAACAACCCTTCCCCCCTCACCAGCCACGGATCCTCACCTCCAGCCCAGCCAGAGAAGGTCTCCCTGTTGCTTCAGTCATTCCTCTTTGGCCTCCCTGCTCCTGACTACCTTCCCGCCAGCTGCTTCAGGATGGACAAAGCCCTTTCTCCAGAAATGAGGCCTCCTCAAATAAACACCCTGTTGAAAGTTCTGGTCTCTGCCTGATTCTTCACTAAAAGTGGGTTTGCAGAGATGGGGAGGAGCAGGGTGGAAATTTGAGGTCCTTGGTGCTCTCTGAACTGGGTTGTTTCCTTGCAGATGTTTCGTTACTCAACTAGGGAACATCATCAGTGCTAGAAGGGAGGGGTTGAGGAGGAGGAGGAGGAGGAGGAGGAGGAGGAGGAGGAGGAGGAGGAGGAGAAGGAAAAGGACTATGGGGTCCTTCACGTTCTCTGAGCTTGTTTTCTTGCAGATGTTTCATTACTCAAGTAGGGAACATCATCAGTGCTAGAAGGGAGTGGGGTTGAGGAGGAGGAGGAGGAGGAGGAGGAGGAGGACGACTGTGGGGTCCTTCATGCTCTGTGAGCTTGCTTGTTTTCTTGCAGACCTTTCATGAGCCAACTAGGGAACATCTTCAGTGCTAGAATTGAGGGGGTTTGCAGAGAGGAGGAGGGGAAGGAGGAGGAGGAGGAGAGGGAGAGAGAAGGAGCAATGAGTGGGGTTCCCGGTGCTCTTTGAGTCATAAGTCATAAGTCGCCTTTTTCAGTGCCGTTGTAACTTTGAACGGTCACTAAATGAACTGTCATAAATTGAGGGCTATTTGTAGTTTGGTAATGAATCAGCTGCAAGAAAAGAACACAAGGACACCACAATTCATTTCTGAACTAAAAATATTCTCTGTTATTATTATTATTATTATTGTTATTATTATTATATCAGGGGTATCAAACTCAATTTCATGGAGGGCCGCATCAGGGTTGTGGCTGACCTTGGGGGTCCGGGGTGGGCGTGGCCAGCTCAATGTCGCTCATGTCGGGGGCACCTGTGGGGGCATGGGCAGGGCTGGGGGGGATCCATTGTCTCCAGCCAAGGAAGCACCACACCCTTGTCCACCAGAGGGGCCTGGCTGTCCCTCTCAGGCCACACAGGGGACCTCCAGGGATGCAGGCTGCCCGGAGCCCTGGGCAGTGGAGGGCAAGCGCCCAGTCCAGCCTTTCCCAAGGGGGCGCCCGGCTGCGCTTACCTCCTCCTCAAGGCTGCTGCCGATTGGCTCAGTCTCCTTGGCCAAGTTGCTCATGGCATGTGCGGAAGGGCAAAATGTATGGGTCAGAGGGAGGCCCACTCCCTCTCCTTCCCCACAAGGAGACCCGGCTTTGTAACCAAAGCATCCTAAGCAATAGGATGGGAGACCACGAGGAGAGGTCAGGAGGAGGGGACAAGGGAATGGTAAAAGGGCAGCAGGGCTGCTGGTGGCCAAGTGCTAAGGCGGGACTTCCCTGAGACCCTTCCTCCCGCTCATTATAATCTTCCTTCCTTCCTTCCTTCCTTCCTTCCTTCCTTCCTTCCTTCCTTCCTTCCCTCCCTCCCTCCCTCCTTCTTTCCTTCCTTCCCTCCTTCCCTCCTTCCTTTACCCCTTTCTTTTTCCTTCCCTCTTTCTACTCCTTTCCTCCTTCTTCCTTCCCATCTTTCTTTCTTTTTCTTTGTCTTTCCTCTTCCCTTTTCTCCTTTCCTGTCCCTTCTTGGATGCTCAAATGCAAAAGGGAAAACATTTCTCCATGCCTCCTTGCCTTGTGATCAAAGGCCACTTTGGCTAGTAGTCTGTGGCCACTTAAAAGACTAAGAACAAACCAAGTTCAGTTTGTCCCATGTTTGCATTTAGTGTGGGGGGGGTCCACAGACAACACTACATGGGTGGGACTCATGGCAAGGAGATCTCACAGCCCCCCCCAACTACGAATGATGGGTGGAAAAATTGCAATATGAATTTCTCAACTTGGTACGGTCAATCTCTCTTTCTCACTCTCTCTCTCACACACACCACACACACAAACATGCAAACAAACACATACGAACTGAGATAAAGAAAACTGGGTATTTTAAAATTTGGAAGTATAAATATTAAAACTTAAATTTGAATATTGATTTGTTTATAAAGATTGAGTGTAAAGCTAATTAAGATATATATAAGCTAAAATATATTGATAAACGTAATAAACATGTCTTCATTTAGCTGATATAATAAAAAGTGTACTAGTTCCAATATGAGATAAATAGACATTAAGAGAAAAAGAGAGGAAGTATTTGATGTTGAAACAAGAGAAAATTTGGTTACTAAATTTAAGACGTTTGGAAATTAATAGAAAATAAGAATGTTATACTGTATTATCAATTAGTTGATGTAAGATGGTGAGAAATAGAATATATCCAAATAGATGTGTATTCTGAATATTAGACTTCATGATGAATTGTGATAATGGGAACTTTGGTTACTTAACACTTGGAAATTATAAATACTAAATGTTCAAGTTAAACATGATTGGGAAATAGAATATATCCAAACAGATAAGACGTGTATCCTGAATATTAGATTTCATGATGCATTGTGATAATGGGAACTTCGCTTACTAAAGACTTGGGAATTATAAATATTAAATGTTAAAGTTAAGTATTAATGGAAATTAAAAATTGGAGAAAACTAATTAGGACGTTGATCGTCTATAAAGACTGAATGTTAAAATAATAAGGATATGTATAAGCCAAAAAGTATTGAGAAATGTAAGAACTGATTTAATAAGAATTGTATTAGTTTAGACAGGAGACAGTGAATACTGAGGGGAAAAGAGAGGAAAAATTTGATGTAGTAGTTTGAGATTTGTACCAAAGATATTTGTACGTCATTGTGTTATCGATCAACCCAGCCGCCACGTTGCTTTTTGAATACTTAATGTAAAACTAGAAAATCAATAAAACATTTATTAAAAAAAAAAAACCCACATACAATCCTTTATTGCTTCAGCATTGAAAAAGCATCCTGTGCTGCTGAAACCACAGTGATGACCACTAGATGGGGACCAAAGCCTCAAAGGCCACCAAGGCTAAGAGCCCTGAAGACGGTTATGAATTGGTCCAACCTCTTTGTCAGGCCAACACAGCAGGGAGGCAGCGCCAGTTCTCCAGCTTACATCCTGCATGAACCAGATCCATCAAACATCTATGGAGATAAGACCTATAAGATAACCTTTACTGTCATTTTTTGACTGTGGGCACAATAGCACACGTCAAAAATGAAATTTAGTTGACCACTCTCAAAATGAAACACATACATGACACACACCTAAACATACTATGTACAACATAAGTATAGACCCACATCCCTACATATACGTAGCGAATAAATATTAAATACTGTCCATCTTGAATATATAACGGAAGGAGGAAACTTGAGAGTTCACAAGGTTAATGTTGTATGGAATGAAACTATGGCTGAATCCGGATGTTCTCTGTGGATACCATGGACCCCCCTCCTCCCAGAAGGGAACAAGGAAAACAGGTTGTGGAAAGGGTATGTAGTGTCCCAGATAATGTTACAGACCCTGCTCAAGCAGCACTTCTGTGCTATGTCCTGGATGGGAGGGAGGGAACTGCCAATGATCTTTTCTGCCGTCCTCACCACTCTCTGCACCGCCTTCCTGTCTGAAGCAGGGATGCTTCCAAACCAGACTGTGATGCTGTATGACAGGATGCTCTCGGTCGCCTCCCTGTAGAAAGTGGTCAGGACAGGGGAAGGACTTTCTTGTTTTTTCTTTGAAGATGTTTCACTTCTCATCCCAGAAGCTTCTTCCGCTCTGACTGGTCATTCATACACAAGAATGGCAGCTTGCCAGGAAGTCATCCGTTCCCCCATTTCTAACCTGCCAGATGGAAAGGCTAATGACCAGCTCTCTGTAAGGAGTATAAATCCTTCCATTTTCCCCACCATCCAGTCAGAACCTGAGGAAGCTTCTGGGAGGAGAAGCAAAACGTCTTCAAAGGAAAAACAAAGAAGTCCAGCTGCCTCTTGAAAAAAGCGCCTTTAGTTCAAATTCAGCCAAGGCTTGGCTTCTCCTCCCTGCAGCCCAGAGCCAGGGGGAGCTCAGGGTGGAGGAGGGGTGCCTCTACCCGCCTTCTCCCCACTCCAAGGGTTTGTTGTTTGGAGGTTCTAGCAGGGGAGCGCAGCTATCGTATACCCTTGACCGAAGAAGATTGGTACACTCCTTCTATCTGGGATGGTCGTCCCCTTCCACCGATTGCGCTGCTTTGGGAGGGACACACATGGAGCAGTGAGGGAGGAAGGGGACACCCACCTAGCAGCCAGATCAGCCGAATAAACCCTGGCGATCAATGGGGTGACAGATGTTGCAGCCAGAGCACCCTCACTCCAAGGGTTTGCTTGCACAATTAAGGGTGTGACATCTTTCACTCTGGTTTTGAACCTGACAATGGGTGGGAAAGTGCCAACTTTTTGCATCTGGAGCCTCTGGGCTGCCCTCCAGTTGCACACCTCAATTCTCCTGGAGATTTCCTAGTCTCACAGGGTGGGTCACGGAATGATGGGGTTCCCTAGACCCTTTCAGGGGGGTCTTCAAAGTCCAATAAATAAATATTTTGACATTTCTGTTTTCATTTCTAATCTAGGGAAATAATAGTAGTAGTAGTAGTAGTAGTAGTAGTAATAGTAGTAGTAGTAGTAGTAGTAGTAGTAGTAGTACAAATAATAATAATAATAATAAAGTTGGAAGGGACCTTGGAGGTCATCTAGTCCAACCCCCTGCTCAGGCAGGTAACCCTATACCATTTCGGACAAATGGCTGTCCAGTCTCTTCTTAAAAACCTCCAGTGTTGGAGCATTTACTGCTTCTGGAGGCAGGTTGTTCCACTGGTTAATTGTTCTCACTGTCAGGAAGTTTCTCCTTAGTTCTAGGTTACTTCTCTCCTTGTGTAGTTTCCATCCGTTGCTTCTTGTCCTGCCTTCAGGCGCTTTGGAAAATAACAACAACAACAACACATAGCGTGGAAAAAGTTGTTGAGAATGAGAAGGTGAAGATTTTGTGGGACTTTCGAATACAGACAGATCGCCATTTGGAACACAACACGCCGGATATCACAGTTGTAGAGAACCGAAGCGTACAGCTGATTGATATCGCTGCACCAGGAGAATCGAAGAAAAAGAAC